CCCCCCCCCCCCCCCCCAATCGAAAAGAGCTTCCTACGGCCCTGATCACACATGCAATAGTGTAATCGGGTACTAATTAAACTATATATATCAATTTATAATGAAATCCACAGCAATCAGATGGACAAAAAATTGTTTGCAGAAGGAAGCAGGCGCAAAAAAATTGTTTGCAACAACAACAGCACCAAAAAAAAAAATTGTTTGCGTTGACGAAATGTCCATCCCCCCCTCCAAAAAAATAATGGCCTAACTTGTTTATGTATTAGTTTTAAAAATGCAACGTTTTTTTTATGTTTATAACTATTAGCAGCTTACTGAAACACTATCTGAATTTATATACAAAACAAATATTTTTCTGAATGATTCAACATGTCTTCGACGCCCAATCGATGGCCTACTAATAATTGCCACTTAGCGCCACTTAGTATGTGCCTCATTAATATTTTGTCAAAACTTGATTTTTCTTGACGGTCAGCAGTTTGGCTTAAAAAAAATGTTAAAAATACCGGAATTTACCGGTATTCTGATGGCGGTATATCGGTATTCGGTATTTGTGATATCGATCCAGCCTAATTAGGTAATAAGCTAACTAAAATAGTTTTAGAAGACTAGCCTAGTTAGTTAGCTGCTGTATAATATTATGACATAAATAATCATAACAGACTGGAGAAAGTATAAATTATTATATAGTGAAAAATAAATGGAAAAAAAAATTTTCGAGTTTGAATACCAATTGCATAAAACCAAATGGAGTTGAAACAAAAATACTATTTTATATTAAATACTTATCAAGAATTTTGCTAATCAAACATTTTTAAAATTTTATCTTCGATAAGTCCTTTATACTCTCATCAATTGAGTTCCAAATACTAGCACTGTTAAATCTGATATTAAATTTACCATAATTGGTCCGCACCCTAGGTAATGAATAACTAGAATGAGAAGCAAGTCTTGTGTTATAATGGTGAATTTTGTTCACATATGTGAAAAAGTCACTAAAATATTCAGGAATGTTACCTGCATGAAAATCAAACGTCAGCAAGGCAGTATGCAAATATACTAAATCGTTAAATTTTAACAATTTCAATTTTATAAATAGAGTGTTGGTGTGATCTTGAAATTCAGAAAAAGTTATAATACAAACAGCTCTTTTTTGCAAAAGGGATATTGGTTTAGTTGTCGTCGAATAAGTATTACCCCAAATGACAATGCCATATAAAAAGTAAGGATAGACTAACGAATAGTACAAATTCGTAAGTACATTGATGTTAATGTAATGACGTATTTATTTGACGTATCAAGATGCTTATCTTCAGATTATGTTTTGTACTATACCAACTTAACTGAACCAGTCACATGTGCAACTATGCAATCTGCCTAGTACTTGGTTTGCTTATTAACAGTTATGGGTTGCTTACGTTCTGACTTGGTAATGATTTTTACTTTGAGGTCTACAGTTTCAAAGGTGTTTGCACACAAGGAATGTTTGACAGTAACTAAATGATCTGCCACAGATTTGTTAATTTTGAAATCGACAACAGTGCATGTAATCTTAGCCGGTTTGGTTATCATATATCCTTCACTCACGGGCAATAGGACAGGTGTAGTGTTGTTAAATAGAAAGTTAGAAATGGTATTATACTTACTCATGCATTATAATTATGTTTAAAAGATCAGAATATTCATAACTTCTTATTTTGTTTCATAAATAGTTCTTTAATATTCGAAACAGCTTTGTCTGCCATCGCCATGTTTACTCGTCCCAATCTACATGCTGCACGGCATTGCTGCCCCTCCTGGCAAAATAATAAGCAAGCGAGAAAAATTAAGGAGAAATAAGAGGGTAGGAACATCGTTGTCATAAGCTGGATGCAGTGACACTTCCATATATGGCACAAACGTATCCATAACTTCCATATATGGCACAAACGTATCCTCGACGCGTTTTATAACGTTTTATTTGACGTAGGATGACGTAATGCTGCTTCCCGATATTATTTATGAAACAAAATAAGAAGTTATGAATATTCTGATCTTTTAAGCATAAGTATAATACATGAGTAAGTACAATACCATTTCTAACTTTCTATTTAACAACACTACACCTGTCCTATTGCCCGTGCTTCACTGTTGACATTGAATGTGGTTGATCTGTTTCTCTTCATTCCAACGATTTTCACAAGCGATTCGTTTTGGCAAGCTTATTGAATTGTCACTTTTTTCTCTGGTGAATAACATATCGCTCTTACAGCTTTTTCATTTGTGACTTGTGTCTTGCAACCAAAGTACTTGGTGTTTGTATTTTTTATCACGTTTTTATAGGACTCAATTTGTGAATATATACAACTAACAATGAATCTGAAATACAGATATAACATGCTGCTTAATGAAAATCCATCTTTCTCCGGTTTCATATGTCGAGCCTTTCATGTAGCGAATAAAATGCAAGTAAGCTTATTGTCCCCACAGGGTTTTGGCCCCAGAGAAAGTAAGTTTAAAAGGTGAGTGTTCAAAGGTTGCGTTGCTGTAAGAATATTCTCTTGGGTTAACACCTTGTCAAACAGCATTGTATTTCAATGGTCTGTTTTACCTGTCTAATAGACTTGTGAGGTATGTTGTTGCTACCATTTATTGTTGGTGAAGGAGTCAGTCCATCAAATAATGAAAAGCTTTAAAGGTTAAACAGTAACACAATATTGAAAACTCCGTCCATCAAGTATCAACTGCGTCCATCAAGTATCAACTGCGATTTGTCAGACACAAATCAAAACAGGAACCAAAAGACTCAGTTCACACATCAGTCAGTCAAAATGAATAAGAGCAAACCTTAAGGAATATAAAAACTACAGTTTTATAGAACAAGACAGACAAAAGTCACATTATAAAACGTTTGTAACAGGGACTCATATGGTAATGAGGGTCTAGATGGGGGGGTGCCCAAAACAGTAAACATTAGATTTTTTAGTAACTTAACAGTAACAGTAAAAAATTTCACATAACAGTAAAATTTTGCTAATTTCACGAATACGTAAAAAAGCACATAATTGCTCCTATAATATATAAGAATCACGCAATATAATTTTATATTTGTACTTATATAATTTTTAAAACTGTTTTACCAGATGTAACTCAACATATGTTGCAATATCTGTATTTTATTAAATAATAAGAATAAATGGTGACAAACTGTGTAAGACTTGTAAATGACTGCAGTCAAGTTACAAATCTAATCTAACTGCTGCTCGTAGTGTTCGTCCTGATCGAGAGGTTCTTCTTGACTGAACACGAATAAGTGCAAGTTCATCTGAATCAAGACCCGCCCCATTGACTTCTGTTTGGTCACAATCGCTATCTGTTTCGTATTCGTCCACTTGACCATCTTCCCCCGGCATTTGGGCCACTTGTGTTGAGGTTGTTGGGGGTATAGCTGTAGTATCTCTTGTAGGCCGATCTTCGGGGTTAACTTCCTCGCATTGTTCATTAGCTTGCGTTGATTCTGTTTCCTGCAATCCACTTCTGATGTCTGCGAGGTCAGCCTCTACCGACATTCCACAATCAGCGTCAGTATCAAAATCAACTGTTTGAAATGCAGTGGATGCGTTCACATACACGTTAGGTGGAAGAGCACCGGCTTTATCTTTTGTAGTTTCGCTTCTTACTGTGCGTTGGCGCACAGGTCGATACGGTTCCAACCAATCTCTCATAAGCTGTTGGTCTTCATGAGACATCGTTATCGAAGGCAAAGGTGTCATGTAAACAGCATCAGACAACTTCATGTGGTTGACTGGAACAGGGTAGTAAGAGCGTGGATGGGTGAAGTACTTTGCAGACCAATTGGTGGTTCTTTTCAATGATTCTTTAACAATAGACCCGAAGTCCATGGCGTATTTCAGGTAGCTGAATGTATCACTTTTGAAATGTGATACGGCATGAAGATTCTCCACCACAGTGGAGAGAAGTGTTGATATATCTAGTTCATAGTTTGGAAAGTCTTTAAAGATTCTGTTTAAAGCTTCCATTCCTTCCACGAGCAACTTTATCGTTTCCTGAGTCTGATTGGATATGGTTCCTTCAGGTCCGTTGGTTGATTTGTTTGCAAGATCATGATTGACTTTGACCTTTTTTACTGATTCTTCCATGAAAGCAGCCACTTCGGCAACGCTAGAAGTAGCATCGGAGATACTAATAGTGGTAGATTGTCTGGCACTAGCGACCCGAGCATGGATTTCAAATGAATCGTACAACCTACCAAGTTGTTTCAAAAACTCAGCAGTCCCTGACAGCCTTGTGATCATCTTGATACAGCCTGTAGCGGAATCAGTAATATACATTGTGTTACTCTCGGAGCAGATTCCCTGTAGTTGCGTAAATGATGCGTAGTCTGCGGGTCCATCTTCGTTTCCACACCGTCCTGAACCAGCCACTACTGACTCGACTCCGTCCACAGGATTAAACATCTTAACCTGGTTCTGGTCGTTGAAAATTAGGTTGTTGCCATATGCTGATATTCCACAAGAGGAATGTACCTCTATTACTTTCGTGACACAGAGACTGACAAGGTCGAGTTTGAATATTCCTCCATCAGCGTCACCGTCAGGGTCGATAGCCTTATCTATGCTGCCAGCGAAGTACACATTACCATTAATATGTGTGAGTGCCCTGATGGCAATGACGGCAGGTGGATACTGTGTTTCTTGAAATACTTTTCCATTCACTGTAATACCATCTCGAGATAATTCTATCTGGAGTATGTTTTTAGAGCCATCATCGGCACAAACAAGGATACCAGGTGTTGCAAAGCAAAGTGCTGAAGGTTTGTGTAGCTTGGTCTCCAAGTTGACAACACATTTCATCTTAAGATGTTTGGATATATTCTTCAAATGTAATTCCAGCCTCTTCCTCAACTCTGGAAGTGTCCCAACTATCGGAAGGGAACGTTTTTTGAGATGTTCCACCATCTGCGCCTTAGATCGCAATGCACTGACTTTGAGGACTACAACATTTTCCATATCAACAAATCTCACTCTTTGAGCACCTCTTTCTGCAATATATGCTACTCCTTCAGAGAAACTGACGCTTCTCCCCTCAACAAGGTTTGATACAAGCACTGTGACATCGACAGGGTTGTGTAGTCGTAGGAGCAGCAACTTGGACAATTTCTTTTCCGGGTCATAGTCTAATACCAGAAGCTTCCCAAAGGGACCAACTGTAATGGCAACTGGATGTGGATACATTCTGGGCATGTTACTCTTCCAAAAGCGGTACTTCTCCGGTGCCAATGTGTGGACTACAAACTGAACATCTTCGATAGCTTCGATTACATCAGACCGTGTAAGCAATACAATACAACTAACATCCATCCTGTCCTTATTCCGGACAGATTCCAGTGTAAGAAGCTTTCTCAATTTCTTTCCAACCTCAGACTTCTTGCAATCACGTAAAGTTCGAAGGAGGACCAAGTTGCTTCTCTGCTCATTTAGTAAAATATACCAATTCGCCCAGCTACACTTAATGCTTTTTCCAACGTGTACAACGTCTGGAAGGATGACTAGGAGTGACAATGCAGGTGGAAGAGAACCCTCTTTTCGCATCTTGTTCAGTCGAATTAGGGCTTTCTTGTTGCAGCTCTCACAGTCGGATACCACAACTAAGACAACTGTTCGAGTACACTTTGCTCCATCAGCGATACAATTAGAACATGCCCGGAGAGATGGGATATGACTAACTTGTCTTTGAACAGCACAGTCGGCACAGACTTCTGAGTTTTCCAAACAATGTTCACAGATACTAGAACAGTTTGAATCTCTATGGGAAATTATGTGTTGCGTAGATCGTTGTCTGGCAAGGCACCTTTCACAGATTTGAATGGCTTCGACTGCTTCTTGGATTATGTTGAAAATCTGCTCACCAGAAACACATTTTGGAAGATAATAGACACCAACCGGCATAGATGCTCCGTTGTCCATTGCACTCACATGCAGTACATTTGTGCTTGTCACAAGATTATCCTTCACTTAATTTCCATTCGGAACAGGATGGGCTTTAACATACTCTAGAGAAACGTCTTCCAACATACCAACGACACACTTTCGTCTGGTGTCAAATTCAAGTCCCGGGTTAAGGGCAGTCCCGTCCATTGCAGCTGCTGCGGGAATCACTTGAACTAATGCATTATCAATGATGCATTCGGCTTTAGAACTTGGATCTTTTCAAATCTTTAAGAAAGACTGGAGATGTGGTTTAATGATGCCACTTCTTGTTGTGTACCCTGCTTGAGAACGCTTAGATGTATTAGATGATGGCCCACCAAGATTGAAATCAGCGAACGTGTCAAACCTTTTGATGCCACCCTTTCCTGTCCCAATGAACCCTGGACCGCGTATGAAGTTACGTGTCCGTTGTCCACCAAGATACTTTATAGTATCATAAAATTCGCATAAATCTTCGTCCCATTTGAAATCTGATGACGAGTTGGGGTCAATGAGAGCAAATGCAGTGGTGTTTTCTAAGAACTTGTAAAATATGCAATCCTGTGGTATTTTTCCTTCCTCCAGAAGACGATTCAGGCTCTTGGCAAGTGGATGTGCATGTATAATAGACCTGTAATAACAGACAAAAGGCATTTTTAAGCAAACTGGTAAATTTTGGGAATGTGAATTCAGAATTGAAAAAAAGCTTCAATGACAGTGTACGGCCAAATCAAACCTTTGTTGGTTAGATATAAATTTCCAATCATTAGAATTGCTGCTTTTCTTCAATACGTAGTTCACTTGCCTGATGTTATTGTTAAGTTTCTCATATTCAGAAGAGAGGGATTAAATCCTGCACCCACTATTATTATAAACCTGAATGCATAGATGAGAGATACTTTGAAATTGCAATAGCTCTTGCCATACCATGAAAGCAGGTAGGCTGTTCATTCCGGCATGTGCTAAAACCTGGACAATGGACTGGACGATGGACGTCCATCGTCCAGGTTTTATTGGACGATGGACAATTTTTATTTAGCTACAGCCGTTTCAACAAATTCAGTCTCCAAATTCAGTCTCTGGCTATACTTCGTCACTATCAATTTGACACACCTTATAATGACCTTACTCACTTACTGAAATTGCGGTCCCCAAGTTTGGCACCGCATTATATTCTGCATGTGAGTTTGTCCATTCGCATCAATATGTTTCCTTAATCGCCTAGTAAAAATTCCTAGCACATGCTTGAAATTTATTCATTTTTGCTGGAAAATTAATTAATCTTGGACTCTCAGGACAGACTGCTTGCTGGGCTTTATCTCTGGTTTTATGTGCCAAACATGGACAAAAATACTACTGTTCGAAGTAGCGTAAAGGCTAATTTCCACTAATTCACACTTTTCTTTGTCTTGTGAGCTCTGAGTTGGAACTAATGACTTTAACACAAAGAAAAATTTTCTTGTCTGTTTCAATCCACGGATAATTTTCCTGAGTGGAAACTAGCCTTAAAACGTTGTATTTATGGATGGGAAATTGATTTCAAAATTGATTAATTTAATTTGTTTTCCAGCGATTCATGGGTTTTGAAAGACAAGCCGCTCATAATAAAATATCACCGTTCGATTCAGTGTAAGAAATTGTACTTACTGATGTCAAATGTACTTACGGATGTCAAATGTACTTACATATGTCAAATGTACTTACGTATGTCAAATGTACTTACGGATGTCAAATTATTAAACTATAATTAAAAATGCAGTACGTTTGATCCTTCATAACTTCGGTATTGTTGGTTTGCTCGTTTTCTGCCGTACACCAAAGGATTCGTCTTACTTTTCGCTTCATTTTGATAGTATTTTGAGCCCAAAACAGTCTATTTTGAAGGCTTTAAAACGCAGTTTCGATCCTAACATACTGCAGACCAACTAGCGGCCGACAGGAGAATGTACTGTAGGATATGTAATGTACAACTTTACTTGTGCATGTAATCACAGATGTAATCTTGGACTCTGTCTTATCTCTGGTTATATGCGCCCAATAAGGACAAAAATACCACCGTTCAATTCAGCGTAAGAAATTGTACTTACGGATGTCAAAAGTATTACTAAACAACAGTATTCTAGCGATTTATGATCTAGCCTTTGAAAGTCAAGCGAAATTGTTTGTTGACAAATCACTCAAAATTATCAAGCTATAATTAAAAATGCAGTGTGTTTGATTAAACTTTGGTATCGTTGGTTTTCTCTTTTCGGCCATATACCAGTATATTCATCTCACTTTTCTCTTCATTTTGATAGTATTTCATACATTTTTAATGTATATATACATTTAGCACATATGCCGTTCATTCCATGATTAATATTAGGATTTCGATATAGCTGAGCCATATTAATGCAGTTATTATCTAAAATTAACAACATTTTCTAGCTTATATTGTGTCTTTTTCTCAAAGAAAAGTAGCAAATACAAAAACGGTATAGCACTTTTTCCTTACTTTTTTAATAACAAATACAACCATGGTTTCAAATAATTTTCAAAATAGGTGATACATGTATTTTCAAAACAATAAAAAATTCCTCAAATGCATTCTAAAATGTCTAAAAAAACAACTAGGGATCCAAGGATAGTGTAAAGTTTCAAATTGAAAAAACACGGCAAGAACTGTATGGGGTCGCCAACAACCTGGAATAATAAGAGTAGGCATAGGCTACAGCAGGCACGTTACTCAAAAACGTTTTTACGAGATAACCAATTCTTTGTCACGCCCTTCGTAACTCTTTTATTAATGTTGAATTGCAAGAGCTCTTATTTGGGCATGACATGACGACTTGTTGTTTGGTAAAGCTGATGGATTACACTACGAAATAAAAGTTAAACAGTTAGCATAGGCATTTCATCTCATCATCTATTGTTTTTAATGCGTTTGTGGAACTGATACAATTTATTTATTGTGATGCTACATGCGACAACTCAACATTTAAATTGTTTCACGAACAACCAAATTTTGTATATTCTAAAACTACATTAATTTGGCATTGGGAGCTGTCACTGAAAGTATCCCCATGAGGCTACTGATATACTAAACTTATTTAAAACTATGATTATTCCCATCATTCTTTCAGCGCCCGCATTTTATCCCCATATCCGTTCTGCATCTGCTCTGTGGATCTGCTCCATTCCGCATCCACTTCCGCATTTTAACCTAATTGTGACAGACATTGATCTTTGACTTTATATTCCCAAGATCAAGTTGCTTTTCATGAGTCATTTTTAGCTTTTTGCAGGTATTCAATAATGTCACTTTTAGATGTCAATAGATTCACAGTTATATAGCAGTGTTTATAGCAGTTTTGATAAGATCTAGTACAGTTCTCATTGCATTGAATACTGCATTGAACATGGTTGCGATGTACAGCTATTTCCTCATCTTTCTCTTTTGAATAAGGAGCTCTGACGAGTCAAGAGATCAACAAGTTATTTTGTCGGTTATATTTTCTCGTATTTAATATAACGCCATACAATGATACAAAGACCGCTTCTGTTTAATAGTTGTTTATGCTACTGTCTGACTGATGCAATTTTTCGCTCTTTGTACTGAGAGTAGTCATCTACTCTGTGGTGTAGCTGTGTAGCACTTTATACAGTCGATGTATAATGAATATACGGTCTAAACAATATAAATCGCCACTTAAAGCATTAATTGAATGCCGGTAAAATACAAAATATCAATTTAAATATTGTGTAGAATCTCAAAGATTTTCTCAATATTCATGTCTGAAATGTTTATATATTTGAAAACAAACTGTATCACTCCTTCCTAGCTCTGTATAATGACTATACCGTCAAAACAATATCGACACTTAATTGAATGCCTAGAATCTCAAAGATTTCCTCAATATTTTAATACATCTGTAATGTTTATACATTTGAAAAAAAGCACTGTCTAGCTCCTTCCCAGCTCTGTATAATGAATATACCGTCAATAAAATATTGATACTTTATTAAATGCCCATAACGCATAACATCAATTTATATGTTGCGCAGATTCTCAAAGATTTACTTAATATCACGTCTAAAATATTTATATATTTGAAAACAACACTGTGCTGCTCCTTTGAAGCATCGTCACACCATCATCCTACGGCTTGACAGCGCATGCGCATTTGCGCTGCTAAAGAAAAAATCTGGTGTTCCGGGGTAAAGATTCTTTACATAACATGAGAAGCAAATGTTCTAAAAGTTACAAACAATTACAACAACAACGATTCTTCGACATTTTTGTGAACCTGAAATTACAAGACAAATGAAATTACATAAAAACTTTCAAAGTACTGACTAAGTAGGTCTAAGTACAATAAATCACTGAGAACATAAATCGTATACACCCACCGGAAAGTTTACTCTATGACTGACTGACTGACTGACATATTGACGTGCCCTAGTGTAACTTAGTGTGTGCCCTAGTGTAACCTAGCTGTGCCCTGCCCTAGTGTAACTTAGTGTGTGCCCTAGTGTAACCTAGCTGTGCCCTAGTGTAACCTACCTAGCTGTGCCCTAGTGTAACCTAGCCGCTGGTAACAAAATTGCAGGCCCAAATTGTCATTATTCAGTGGAATAAAAAATAAATATTTATTTAATACTGTGCGATGTCTTTGTATTTTCAACTATTTTGCTTTAATAATCATATCAAATACGAGTATTTCTTGTAGCAAGGTGGTAAAGCAAAATATTACACCTTAATTAATGGATTTGTTCCATGGGATATAAAGTATTAATTGAAACCTCTCTGATCATGACTCAAGAAGATGTACTATAAAAAACGAAAGAGTTTATTATATCGGAAAGCTAATTTTCTAAGAAGTGAGTTCATGGTAAGTACACAAGAAGTTTGTTGCTTTTTCTATGATACTTGTAATTTGTCCTTGAAGGTGTCCAGTTGAGTTTAAAGGGGGGGATAAGTCCCTTCTGCGCATGTGCCCGGCGTTTGTTTATGTTTTGATACATTACACATGTTATAACAAAGTATTGGCATTTTACAACAATATTTTATGATTTTATCAAACATGGCGATTGAAATGAGCGAAACTTTATATAGTTCACTTGTTTGTGTGGTGGTGCCTGCTTTTTATAAGAAATATAGAAACTTTTGACTTGTACAAGTTTGAATAATTTTCTTTTTGAACCGCATAGCGTGATAAACACGCCAAATCATGCATGAAGTATGATCAACCGACGAATATGAATTGCTCAATGCCCGATTGCTCTTTACTCAACAACAAGCTGACAATATTGAGTACACAACAGTAAGTTGAATGGTTTATATGTTGTTTGTTGTTGCTAAATTCTAGTCTGCATGTTTTTGCATGGATTAACGATATATGAGAGCTTATCTTTCGTAAATACTGCACAAAATATATACCGCATTTGAATTGTTAGTAGATATATTTTCATCTACAATTTATAAAATTGATATATGAGTTGGACAATATTTTAAACCAACTGCATGTCCTGGTTATATATAGCTAAATTCTTGAAGCATATATAATTATTTTATTTGCAAAGATTGAAATGGTGAACAAAACAAGTTTTGACTTTTTTCCCCATTGCTAGCAGCAGCCTTGTCTTTACCATGTGTCATGCTATTGTAAATTATGGAATTAACCTGAAATTTATATTGCTTCCATGCATTAAGACACTTTCTCAAACACCATAAAGGCAGATTACTATTGGGACAAGTGGTTAATATCATGAAGCATGAAGATCTCTGAAAGAGGCAAACCTATAATCTGACTGCATTCTTTAATTTTGAGCCTTTCTATGCATGACAGGGTTTAGTGGAATATGTAAATGTTCAAGACTATCTGTGGAGAAAACACTGAATGATATAGCTGATGGTGAAATTCAAACGGGTTGCTGACTGTAACGAGTGCCGCTGAGAGGGGGGCATTTTGGGCTTGGGAGTGATGGGCCCCAGCTTGATGGGACCTCACATTAAAGGGACCCCCCCCAAAAGTCCCTTAAATTTTCTTGATACAAGATTGCTTAACCAATAATATAAATCCTAGCTGTGTCAGTGCTGGATAATATGCAATAAAGTGCAATATATTATAAAACACTGCTTCTCCTGTTTTACAATTATGACATAGGGACCCATGGGAAAGTTTTGCCCTGTACTTCGCACAATCGCTCGGTGTCCCGGACTGTTACCACCACCAAGTTCAACAATCAGATAGAAATATTCATAGCTGGGGCTACTGTATACATTTTGTACCCATACCAACACAAGAAGGAATAAGTGTTTTTCTAAATGAAGGTGCAGATATTGCATATTAAGAGGACAAGACTGAACTCTATCAAGAACCCCCATCAAGAACACTGTAATTCAAACAAAATGTTTTGGCACAAATGTTCTGAAACAATAATTGCCAGGCATTATCGAGAAGATGTTCTTGTTTTAAATAACAACATAAACATGCATGCAAAACATCTGACATGCAGCATACAAACAGGATGCTATATGACAATGTCATAGCTACTGTGCCTTACCATAAATCCTCTAGCTATTGATATGGGGAGGGGGGTGTAATACATTTCAGGTTTAGAAAGGTGGGTGAGGCCGTGGGGACTTACATCTATTTTAGAGGGGGGAATAATAGAAGGGTTGTTGCCTAGTCAACATTTGATTTCACTATTGTATGCTGGATACACTTCTTACTAGAATATCGTGGTATAATATAATGTACAATGTCAACTAGTGTTAATAATTTAATTAATGGAAGTTCTGAGTTGTCAGATCTCAAGACATACATTCCAAGACAAATTCCAATATATCACCAGACAAATCTTGTGATATTGAAGCTCATTTTCTACTCCAGAATGCTAAAAGATACTACCATGCATTGCTTTTAATAAAAAAATAATATAGTAACTATAAAGATTATACAGTTGTCATCTTTATTACTTCCTGAGGTGTAACTTCATGTACTGTGGGTGTATATCACAAAATCGTAAGAGTTCCAAGGCAACTCAACTGTCATGATAATGACTATATACCTCATGCTACAATGTTTCAGCCTACAGTATGAAAGTTTTCCAATACTAAAATAAAACGTTGCATGCATATACAAAAATTTATCTAGCTTGAAAGTTTGATAATTTTATACAACAATCATGCTATGTGAAATGACATACAATGTTATAAAGACTTATATTCAGATATCTGGTTATAGATTACAAACAATTGTATATAGTAAAATAAATGTAGAAATAAAAATAAGGTTATGAAGCCGTCTTGAATAATAGCGCATCAATAAAAATATTAACAGTAAATTGTAGTTATGGTTTCAAATCTCTTGACTTTCTTTGCCGGGGACGAATATTCGATCAGATCTGATAAATAAATATTAAATACATAGTCAGCATATAAATCCAATGCAATAGAATCCCAGCATAGAATTTCTGACCAAAATCACCATTTAACGACAGTTAAAACCCAAGTATAAACAAAACATTTACCTGAATATAAAAGATATCGTAGCAGACAACAGCACATGTCGATTTGATCACAGCGTGCTGCACTGAATATCGCACAAACGCACTTTTAGGGCAGCTTTGTTGGCGTAATATTCTTTCCGTGTTCTCTTGTTGTTTTATATGTTTCAATAATTTACTAATAGGTGGATTTGGTTTCATAAAAGTCGCAAATTTGTTGAAACCTTTTCGAATTCTATATAAATATTTTACATTCACTCCTCATCACCTCATGTGGAATATAAACATCGCGCGTGTATATCGCCAATTATGGGACTGGAAACGAGAGGTTCATTTCCGGTGGAGTCCCCTGTAAACAAACGCCGGACACATGCGCAGAAGGGACTTATCCCCCTCTTTAACTCTTTCTCAGCCGGTCCCTATAAACGTAGATTGTGCACGATCTATGGCACGGTCTATGACTTCGCCGATTCATATCTTCGGTTTGGTGCATGCTATGTAGATGAAAATACCACCATTCGATTCAGTGAAACAATATCTCCTAATTCCTGTCGATAGTTTTATTTAAATATAGTTTTAGTGAAATTGTATAACTATTTATGACCTTTTGAGAGGTCATGCGGTGTCATATTTCATTATATTAATCAATTGTCTCGAAAAATGTAAACTATCCATACCTTTCGCCGAACATAACTTCGGTCCCTTTGAAGATATCGTTTTCGCTATACTCTTATTCGAACCAGAATCTAAAACACTATTTAAAGTGTTATTTTCAAGCTTGTAGGATTAGTCTTTCGTCTTTTATTTCGGTATTTCAATCTGTTGTGATACTAGTGAAGTCAGCGGGATATTTTCGACCGGAAATACATTTTAGATTTGCGAAAACATCGCGTGTTTACACCCTAGCGCTCGGAAAACGTCGGCAATCGATTCTATAGGTCAAATTACATCTGCAGCATGATTTTCACGTGCATTGGGCTACGGGGTTACTCCTTATTGGCCAATTTTACGTGCAGCACGCGCGTGCAAGTAAAAAACCCGATGAAACCCGATATTTTGAAAAATTCAAAATAAACATTTCTACTCGCCGTATTCAAACGAAACTTTCTACATAAAAGCGCTTGAATACAAGGAATATTTCACTCATATTAACTTGTGGCGAATTCTGAAGAGTTT